AGACCCTGCAGACTCTGTGTCTCAGGACCCTGCGTCTCAGGACCCTGTGGACTCCGTCTCAATGAGGTGACCCAATAACTATATTTTAAATAAAGGTAAACGTTTCGGCCACGAGGTGATGTCTGGAACATTTTCTCTCTGAACACCCGACGCCGTCTGAAGGCGAGGAGTCTTTCCTTAAACAACAGAACCGGTCCAGTTCTGTTCTGTACTCACGTTCAGGTGGGAGCCTTGAATGTCCAACGCTAAGCACATGTCCGTGAAGTAGTTGAGGTTCTTCTCGTCCAGCAGGATGTAGACGGGGACTCGGCGCTTGTTGGACGCCTCCATTAGGTCACACAGCAGGTCCACGTCGGTGAAGACGTCCATCACCAGAGCGATGACCTGCAGAAACGACGACACGTGAGTCCAACAGAACCAGAACTTCATTCAGAGAACAGAACAGGTTTCTGATGAAGGAGCGCTTTGATTTCAGCAGCTGCTCTTTCACTTCCTTCACAATTTTTAATTCACTGAACGTAAAAAACCATAAATCCTGCAGCTGGATCAGGAATCGAACATTCAAGGATTCAAGGTTCTTTATTTGTCGTACGCACCACATGGAGTATGAGGTGGAACGAAACCGTGCACACAGGGTCCCAGTTACATCCAACAATAAAATGTAAAAGAAAAACAGTAATAAGATCAAAGATTACACAGTTTTTACACTTGAATTTTCCATCCATGGGACAATAAAGGTCGTTTCTATTCTATTCTAAGATATGAACTTAGAAAAAACATCAACTAAAAACACACTAAGCACTAATAGCATAAAAACATTACGTTGAACAGCAGAACATGAGTCTGTGTGAGCAGATGAGCACGCATGAACACATCAACATTTAAACAGATCAGCAGCAACATGAAACAGATCAGCAGCAACATGATGTGATTCTCCTGGTTAGAGATTCATGAGTCTAACAGCCTCAGGGTAGAAGCTGTTCCTCAGTCTAGAGGTTCTGCACTTAATGCTCCTCAACCTCCTTCCTGAGGGGAGTGGGGCAAAAAGTGTGTGCTGGGTGAGTGTGGTCCTTCATGATGCAGGTGGTCCTCTTCCTGCATCTGGAGGTGTAGATGTCTGTGATGGTGGAGAGACTGACTCCAACATCTTCTGTGCAGCCTTCACCACTCTCTGCAGAGCTTTTCTTTCTGCAGCTGTGCAGCCTCCATGCCACACGTTGATGCTGGAGCACAGGATGCTCTCCACTGCACACCTGGAGAAGGAGGTGAGGACTGAGCTTCCAGACCAGCTCGTCTCAACCTGAGGAAGTAGAGTCTCTGATGAGCTTTCTTCATCAGGCTGGTGGTGTTGTTGCTCCAGCTGAGGTTGTTGTTCAGGTGCACACCCAAGTTCTTGTAGCTGGAGACCACTTCCACCGCAGACCCTCCTACGTTCGGGGGGTGGGTGTGTTTATTAATCCATAACAACATAACATAATCCCCCACAGACATCACCGGTGTTCAGTTCAGACCCAGTCCCAGTAGAACCATCATCCAGTCTAAACGGGTCACAGGAAGTTGGACTGAACTGTTTTCAGAACTTTAACTCTTTTTACACGAACAAGCTGAATATGGAGGAGTCCACCTATAGCTACTTCTGTCTCCGTCCACCTGTAGCTACTTCTGTCTCCGTCC